TCAATTCGATATGAGTCTGATATAATTGCACATGAAGTTATACTCATCTTTTTTATAATTAAAAGATTATTTAAAGTTATATATTTGTTACTAACTCAAAAATATCATATTCGAAGAGATGAAATTTGAATGTAAACGTTAAAGTTGAAGGTAAAAAGTAATTATCTTTAATGATGTTTCTACCACTTAAACGAACTAGTTGAACAAGATTATAGCGAGTAAATCGTATAGAGATGAGCATATTTATGAAGTAGAATCGTTTAGTCTAATCACTGCGTGCGATATTAAATTTTTAAGTAATACAAATTGAACGAAGCGTAAGACGATTGAACAAAACAAAAATTAAACCTCATCGAAACTAATTTTAATACTTAAATAATCAACATCGAATCCTTCTACAAACATATTTGTGAATAATGAGTAACACATCATTTTTGTTCTTAACGAATTTATTCGAATAATGTTTGAATAAAAACTTTACAAAATAAAACTTTGCGAGTAAAACGTATTACTCAAGAGTAACAAATTGCTTTTCAAAATAACTTTTGATGCAATAATTTGTTTAGTGAATAACAGTAACCGAATAATAAATAATTTCTAACTATTCATAATTTTTGTTTGAAAATAAATAAGTAATATTCTTTATTTATAAAATAACGTGTCATTCATTGAATAAATTATTATTCTGGAATTATAGAAACTAAAAATGTTTTGTTACATGCAAACGCTTCGTTTTATTTGAAATTTTCTTTTCTGTTTTTTATTATGTTAAAGAGCTCATTTTGAATGACAGACAAAACAGAAGAAAAATGTTGTATCTATTATTTATAACTCAATCATCGCGTTGACTATTGAACGGACTATACAGTTTGTTGATTTATTATACTCTTTGATATCATGAATGCATAAACAACTACAGTGCACTTATCACTTTTATAACAAAAAGTTTAATGTTAAACGAATAAAATGGATTTGTAACTTAAATCGTGAATGTTAACGTGAGTTAATGATTTTGATTAACACTTTGACTGCGATGGAGGTTACTGTTACGTCGCATTTCCTTTGTATAATTGAATAATTAGTAAATGACGAAGGCCAATTTCGGAAAGTGTTTATTAAACAAATAATGTAAGACATAAAAAATGAAGGTCTTTTGGAAATTAATCGATCGTATTCTTGACATATCCGTAGTCCACTGTACAGTATACTTTCAGCACCAAAAAATTGATGGAAATACGAAACTTAATTTGTTCAACACTGAAGCTATTTCTGTTTCATTACACGATAATTATTTTGCCATACAATGACTTTATTAGAATCAGCATGTATTACAAAATTCTGCTTCCTTTAACTTGATAACAATTTAACTGTATAATTTAACAATTTTTATGAATCTAGAACTAAAATAGTGTTTGCAATTAATAAGAATATATTTCTCATTTTATTTTAAAACATAACAAATTTATTCGCTGTAAAATACTAATAAATTTTTGAGTCTATTCTCGAATTTTGCAGAATAACAAAATTCAAACTTTGTAAAACAGAATTGTTTTGTCTATAGACAAAATATAAAAATATTGTTTTGTTTATAGGTGTGAAACGTTGATCTTTATGTTTATAAATCAATACTTTGACTTCCAGTTGTCATTTTACAATTTGCTGCAAATTTCCTATTTGAGATAACAACCCGAGAAGTGCACAATTGTACACAATTGTCTAAATAATATGTTATTTAGAAATTGTCAAACTTCTGATCATAAATAATGAATTCAGAGCACAATGATTATGACAAAATGTTTTCAAAATGATTAATATATTGCACATTTATAAAAAGTAGTAAAATTCTGTTAGAATATATTCCTCAATGTAGAAAAGCGTTTATAAGAAAAAATTGTAACATTCTTCCTTGTATTTCAATTTATAATTTTATTAAATAATTACGTTATATCACTTTCCAGTATATTTCATTCATTTAAAACAAATGAAACAGTTTGGCCAACATTTTGATATAAATATCCTGTGCGTCGTTAATCGGTACTACAAATTTAACTTTATAAAATAATTAAGGAATTAAAACACTGCAATAATGGATAATTCGAATAACCTTTAACTACGGATTTAAAATAAAAGAAAAATGAAAATGTATTTATAGCGAATTTGTTCAAAAAGCAACGAATATTGTAATAGAAAAATTGTAGTAGTTGTACTGTTTTAATTTTCAAATACGGATTTAAACTAAAACAAAGAAACAAGTATATCTAGAGACCCAAAAATAAAAACATTTAAAAGAAAACATTATTTCTTCGAATAAAAAGAATTTATTACAATAACAAACATTAGAATGAATACTACAATGAAGATCATTTGAATAAAATTATTCTACAATATCTCCTTTTTATTCAAACGATTTTTCGTCAATATCTATTCAAAATTTATATTTGAAAGTTATTTAAAAAAAATGTCCAACATTGATTTGAAATATAATGACACAATTGCACTAATAATGTAAAGCAACCAAATAAAATATCGCACTAAACAAATTTATTTCCGTTGTCTATAATTATCCGTTTATTAATGTGTCGTATTAAACACGACTATTTCTACTGTAGCAGTCAGCGTCTTGCCGCGTATATCCGTTTTCACTGTAGCAGTCAACGTGTTAACGATGATATTGCTCTTCCCTCTGTATTTCTGGTTTCCCTATCATCGACGAGATCCGACCTGACTCGAGAGTAAATCGCACGTGTTCGTTGAAAGTCGTTTCCTTTTCGATCGGAGTCTCTCTTCGACAAACAAAATACTCGAATCGTACGAATACGACATATCAGACCGTCCCTACTTTATAGTCCTGATAATTATGACTTCATATGAAAGTGATTTGTTCATTTGTTTTACAATATCTTACACAAAAAATCGTGGTAACTATGCAGAATATGGTACACTGATTCTCCATTGATATTTATGTGCGTTATAAAAATTCACTTTCTAAAGAATTTTATATGCAATTTTTATAGAAATTTTCTAAATAATTTTATAGTGCATTAAAGTTTTTTATTGACTTTTTACAGAAATTCATTTTTTAAATAATTTTATATTGTAAATAGTTTTATATCGTATTTATGTTGTATCATGCACATCACATGCCAGTGTTTGTTTTCAGCTTTGAAGACACATCGCTGGTTTTCTTTGAACGTTCACGTTACCTCTGTCAAAAGATCTAATTAATGATAATTTTGTTCTCAACACACCTGGTTGATTGTTCTGATGATATTTAGTTACTATTACTAGATATACCTTAAAGTGTTTAATAATATTATTTATCAATAGGTAACTAAAAATGTTTTTGATAAGTGAGTAAATCAAGTATTTTGAAGAGATAACTCAAGTAAATAACTCACATATAAACTTATGCGTCATTCATATATGGGTGACGTGACGATAAACCTATTAACTTCGATATAATTGAAAATATGTTGTTTTGTTACAATATTTATATCGTTAGTTTTTCAATATTTTCAATGAATGAATTTCTCAATTACTAAATAAAGGTAATTTCTCATACCATCAAAAAGTGAATATTGTTTAAAAATTTTTCACTTACATCGTCATAAGCGATTTATACAATAGTATACATATTAAATTTGTTTCAAAGATTAACATTTCTGAACGGAGCAAGAAAAATTATAGTACTAGAAATTTCAGAAAATCATGATAGTAATTTAGAGAATAAAGCTACAAAGTTAACCTTCCACAAATTCTTAAAGAAATCAAAATTATAACTAATATTAAAATTACAGTTACATCTGACATAATTTGTACGGTGACCCATATATAATGCTTTGAAATTCCACAACAATCTATTATCTGCATGATGAAGAATTTTTTTACATTTTTAATTAAAACCATTCGTATTAGACATTTGAGATCGCAGTTCATTGTAAATAATATAAATAGAATCGTAAAAATAAAGCTATAATGTAGATAAGATTTATTAAAAATAAATTAAGAAAATTCTCAGTAGCGTCAATATGTCGTTAGGTTAACGTTTCATAGTGCTCTATTACCTCTAGAAGTAGAAAATATTTAGTTCAAGCCGTATTGTCATCAAAATAAAAATTACTTTTAGTATGAAACAGAAGCTAATCAAATCATTGTGTGTTTTCATTTATAACAAAATATTCCGCTTTTGATATTTTTTTTATGCCTGAATAAAGAAATTATTTAAATATTGATTCATTAGCAACGCCGTCTTATTTCATATCTGTATAGCAAAACACTATTTATGATAAATTGGTATATTATATATTCGTTCATTTATAGTAATGCAATTCGATACTGACGATGTACAAATGTATCTTTAATTGCGTATGTAAAAAAATTTTCCTCATACTCAGAGTTAGAGTCAACGTTAGCCAACGTTGCTGGCGTAAATGATAACTAATGGAATAAAAAATAAACGAGTTTTTTTATAGCTCTGACGATAAACGACGTAAATCTTTTACATTTTCTGAGAAACACAGATTATCTCTGATTTTCGTATGCAACTGTTTAGTTTCCTTACTCGATTCTTTCAAGTATTCTGTTTAAAAATGTACTAAGTTATTATGTTAAAAGAGCAACGATTTTCGAAACTGTTCGTCTTTTACTAAAAGAAACTTGAAAAATATTTCTTATCCTATAGACAAGAAATCCTAGAAAAATTCATATGTCCTATCACGTTCGTTGTAAAATATAGTAAAATTTTGATTAAAATTGACGTAAATATCCTATATATTATTAACAACGTTCTAACACTTTTATGTTCATAACATAAAAAGTTTCGTTTTAAATGTACTCGAAATTTTAATTGTGTATAGATTTAAATAAGGAATTATTTGCAGGGTTCATAACAATCTGATCACTCACTGTATTCGAGATCATAAGCATCATAATATAAAAGAAGATCATTGAAATCACTGAGGTGTACTCTATTCTGCATCATTCCCAAGATCGACACTTACGAGGAGCTTATCTTTCTGTTCACTCTTTGAGGGACGATAATCTGCTTCCTACGAGCAGATTTCACGTGTTCAACTCCGCACAATTGATTAACTAACGAACGTGTAAAACTGAAATTTTCTTGAGCACTAAGTGCAAACACACGATACAACTCGCAGCTTTTATGTAACACTAATCTATCGACGTTACGCTGCACTACACTCCGTCTGAAACAGCACTGGTAGCCTTGATCGATTCTTGTTATTGCGCCGTAACAGACGTTTCGATCTCGATGATCTTCTTCCCTCAAAGAGGAAACCTTAAAAGCGAATCTCCTCGAAGCGTGTTACAAGATGTTCCCACGGTTTCGCGTTGTCAACGAGTCAATCGACGACGGAACATCAGTCAACGAGATTGACGCGTATTAGCAAAAGTCGAATGTGTAAGCCTCATAAAGTATCGGTCAAACTTCAGAATTCAATTTACCTTCACTGGCACAGTAGCATTCCGATCGGTAATGCGTCTGCTATACTCTGTTTAAGGATATCCTCCGTTTGTACCAGAGCTGTAAGAAGACGGAGGAGAAACTCGGCTCGTGGTTAAACCGAACAAAACACTCTCACGTACAGCAACTGTCACTGCCACCGGGGCAACCGGGTGTCTCGTCCCGTGGGACCGGTGAGACGAACACCTTGCACCCGATTCTGATCCGATGCGACGTCACCAGAACGATTATCATCGATCATCCATTAGATCAGTGCTTTCGATATTCTTCCTCGCGCCAAAAATTCCCAAAATAATTTGTCTCGAGTCACTTCCCCTCGAAGTCACTATCGGCCTAACGCACACACACCGTTTCCCTGCTATCGGAAGAGGATCCGCCGATTTCACGAAGCAGATTAACTCTCGACTCTCTGCTGACCCCAACTGTCACTTTGACGATTCATTCGCACTGCTACGTTAACTGATTCCCCGGATCTGAACGCACTCTCTAGCTGACTACCACTCCGGCACGCACCGTTCTCCGCCGAGCGCCGAAGAACTAATAAAAGCTGGGGCCCAGCTTGAAACTGCGTAGGCCGCTTACTACTCCTTCCACCAGGGACCCGTCCTATCCCACCGGGCTCAGGCCCCGACAGAGAGACAGGCAGGAGAGAAGGCACGGACGGACGGACGGACGGATGAACGCGCCACGGACGGATGGAGAGGCAGCGAGCGGACATACGCGGACGTTAACAGGTATACACGCGTCCTGAGGAGCACGCTAGTATGGTACAGCCGGCGCTGATGTTGCTATTACTGCTCGCTGCTTCTGCTCTACCATGTTGCTGCTCCTGCCTGCTGCTGGTGAACGTCACTCGGTCAAGGTTCCCCACCAAAAAGCTGCACAACTTGAAGGCATCCTCGATGCCCCGGCATACGGTAGAACGAGTCGGGTCTCCGATCGGTGCCGTCGCTGATTCGGTCCACGGACAACGCTATACTTGGCGCGAGCCTCCTGGTGCGAGGGTGGTAACGATCGCTTCTTCCACCTCGATTCGCTTGTTCGAGCTGCACACGGAGGTGGATGCGAAGGATGACTCGATCTTGGATCATGCGTTCTCGCTTGGGAATGGATGGTCGAGGGATTGAAACATCGCCGAAGAGATCATTTTATGGATCTGGGACTTGCGACTATGGGTTTGTGGGTTTTAATCATTCGAAGATATGTTGCTACATGGGGCGATTTGAATAGTTTGATTGGATGTTGAAATGTGATCACCCGCGTATAGTCTATTAATGTTTGCAGTGGCTGCTGGAATTATTAGGGCGCGTGAAATAGAATCGTGATTTCACGAATCAATTAATTATTTAATGGAATTGATACTCGAAATTGTTTTTGCAATGGATTGTGATTAATTGGAGCACATTGGGATTGGACTAATTTGTTTCAATTAAAGCGAATGTTGACAAATAAAATTTGTAAAAAGCATAAAATAGACGAGTAATAAACACAATATTTAAATATAATTAGTTTTACAGAAATTTCTTGACTCGAGTGTGTTAATCTGATCTCATTTTAATATGATTCAGACCTTTTGAAAATTGAAATTTTTTACATATTTTGAATGAAAAATTATCGAAAAAAGATATTTCAACACGAAAATTTCAGATTATTTCTGATCTCATGATTTCAACTTCACACAAAAATATTTTACTTTTCCAGACAATTTAAAGCATTACCTTAAATCAAATGTTTTGCATATTTTACACGTGTCGAATAAATTATTTCATTTTTTATGCATACTATTTACATTTCAGTGTTAAAAACGTATGAATATTTATAATCCACGAGTCAATGATTAAAATGGTCAGCAATTTCTTGAAATGAGAAAAATCTTACAATCGTACCATAAAAAATTTTTGTTTGATAGTAAATATTCATAATTCGAATTTTTTATGTGAGGAATGTGTAATTTTTTATAATTGAAATGTTTTTGAAGAACAAAGTAAAAAACTTTGCATAATTTGCAATGTGTTTATTTTTAAAATTATACGTGAAATAAATATAAATTTAAATAAACTTTATAATATATTAATGTTAAAATTCAATATATCATCAGATGAAGTAGATATTTGACTATAAACAAATTTAGGAATACTAGAAGACATTTTTCTTACGTTTTTGTAACTAACTGTACATCACTTTTGATTACATTTGGTGCCAGTTTTAATTAATTGGAAATTTAATATTACGGATCTTGTACATTTAAAATAAAGAACTATATAAATAATGTAAATTCATGAAATTTAATATAATTTTGCATTTTAGTGCTTAAAATTAATATTTATATCTAAAATTTAAATATACTTAAATTATATCTACTTACAACTTTAACATTAAAAAATGTATACACACATTCAATAAACTATTATTATAATTGTTATATATTTGAGCGTTTGTGAAACATTACTTATCATAACTAAAGCATCACATGGCTTTACTCCACAATTTTTTTGACGTGATTGTAAGTGTATAGTTTCTATTATAAGTTAAATAATCGATTGCATCAGCAAGCAAGTACTTCGTACAATATAATAACATTTGACTACTATATCTAATTTGTTAATAAATATTTCATTTTTTAAAGTAGAAATGATAGAAAGTAGAACCATGAGAAAGTAAAAGATAACCAGTTTTACCTTACACTTTAAACAATGGAATATGCATACAAATTGATACGTTATTACGTATCAGTTAGTCAATACGGTGAACTATAAAAAATAATCTTTCACTTTATAAAAAATTAATTAGATCTAATTTGCTTGGTTATACTACAAATAATTATATATAATCTTATGATTGATATATATTCATACTTCCCTTCATTACTACGAACTAGTAACTTAAAAATAAGAAGAATCACGATAATTGCACAAATGATCAAACCAGCGCAGTGATTATAATCGGTTACATTTACCCAACAGGTAATTTCAAGCTGAATTCTTTTGCAATAATTAATTATTTACCTTCCATTTCAGTCCTTTTTCCTTATTTTTTAAATTCTTCTGCGTAACATTTTTAACGATATATTTTACTTTCACCTTTTAAAAATATTAATAACCTAAATAGCATATTGTCGAAAGCAATAATACCACGATTCAATAATATGTTATGTTATTCAGGCTTAACATATTTCTAAGTAATATATTTATAACTATAAATATGTATATACCTACATAATCTCCAGATATTCCAAAACTATTGAAATTTCATTAACTTATCTTAAAATAACATATCCAATATATAAAGAGTACAAATTACACAAATAATTTTGATTAAAACATTTGATTATTTAAAAGTTGTAACTCAAGTATGTATTAAGCTTAAGGTACACAAATTGGAATCACTATTCAAAGCAATGGCGTGCGAAGTAAAAACGATCGAAATGGAAATTAATCCTCTCTCCGCATAATCGCGAACATTGAAACCTTGAGGTAACCCATCCACCTTTTGTATTCGACAAGTCGTTAAAAATTACTCGATCTTTTAATAATGTTATCATGCATCCAATATAAAGCGGCAAGCGAAAAAGACATATTCTGAGGGTCCAGTACCCAAGACATGCGTGCCATCTTAATAAATACGGTTGTTAACACGAAAGTACGCGAGCTGAAGGATCACTAACCGGACAACATGCACGCATAAGCGGCCTAAGAAGAGAAAATTGTGTATCACGAAGTATCAAGGGTGTTGCGGCAGAACAGACAGAGTACAATTATAGGGTGATTGAGGATCCGACTCTTCTTTCTATTTTACTTGAATTCTACGAGTAGTTAACTGGATCCATGCAGACCAATCACAATGTCGACTCTTAGCGAGGTGAGCCGTATTATGATTGGCGTAATCATCGCACGGCTGAATCAACAGCGATGGAGTATATAAATAATTGAGCTTTAAAGTCGATTTACGTGCAGGGGATCTAGTTGATGAAGAGTGGACGAGTGTTCCACATCGAACGTGCCATGTTAACAGAACAGGGTTGCTGCTTAGCGTGATTATGGGGAACTGTTGGGTCGTTACAACGTGGTCCATTGCTATCCAATAAGAAAAATAATTTTATATGAAAAACGGAAGAAACAAAAATTATCTGTTACTGCTTAATCAACATATCGCGTGTACTCTGCTGGTCGTAGTTTATTACCACATGTTACTGTTATTACGATATAATAAATACTAGGTTGTTGTATGTTGTATTGTCGCAGTCGTAGTTTGTTACTTGATTTTGCGGTTAGTACGATAGGATAAATACATAATTCCCGACCTTCGGGCCTTTAAAGATAGACCATTTCATAAAACATTGTCTACCTGAAAGACAAAGTGTTTTCTTAGCCGCAGCTGTTCATCACAACCAAACCATACTCGACTGAATGATTACAAATTAATTGCTATTAACCCCTTGCTGTACTTTCAAGAGTCTGACTCGTGACACGCTCACAGTTCAAACGTGATAACTCGTATTTAAATTTTGAATACACTCCAATTTGAAATTTCCAATTACAATTTGCATAGTCAAGATTGACTGCATACAAAGTAATAACATTTTAACCCTCTTTATTTGTTTTAATATTGCAACAGTGGATAGTCAGTTCTGATTGACGAGTCTGGCTTGTGACGCACTAGCAGTTCAATTATGATAAATCTTACTCGAATTCTTAATATGCTTCTATTTGAAGTTTAAGTCCAATTATAATTTGCATACTCAAGGTTCGCTGGATATATTATGGACATAACGTATAGCTTCCTTTATTTGTTTTAACATTGTATTGACGTATTAACATTTAACATTAACATTGACGCACCGACAAATAAATCGTATAGTAAAGGGTTAAGTGCTTTGGTGTATAGTCTCTCTAACGCTTCTCCTCCAAAGAAATAATCTTATCGGAGCTGATCTGTGTATGAGTTGCTCATGTCTAAGCAACTATATTGGGTTGTTCTATTACATCTGATACATCTGTGGTAATATAATAAGAGTTTACTGCAGATTATCAGGTTAAACGGGTTATCTCGCGTACTAGAAAATTGTAGCGTTTATACATTATGGTTACGATTTTTTAAATTGATTGTTCAGGTTTTCACGAATAATTTGTGAACACAGTTTATTTTATTGAATGGTCCACATTGAAGTCTCCGGGAAACATTCTGTTTGTCAAGTTTTCATCTTTTATAGCCAAAAATGTCTGGTCGGCGAAATTTAATGGTCGACTTCTTCCTTATTCATCTGCAAGATTTGTGTCGTCCAATTTGAATTTCTTGAACTATCGTTCAACTTAATTTTTGTTAATTGTTTCTTCATCAGGAAAAACTTATATTTTCAAATTTCTGTTTTTCCAAATGTTTATTGTATTTCCAAATCTATATTCTCTAATTTCTATACATCACTTCATTTTTACATAAAAGAATATTTATATTCCTAAATTATTACAATTGCTAATTTCTGTATTTTCAAATATTTGTATATCTAAATTTTTGTATTGGGATATGTTTATATTCCCCATTTTATGATACATATCTATTATTTTGTTAATAGAGCATTATAATATTAATTGTGCAAATTTCATTTGAATTTTGTAGCGCCTGACCGCTTTAGCTTTATGTCGTTATACAGATAGGA